TTTCAACTGACGAACGTAAATCACAGCATAATTTCAAATTCAGGAGGATTTTTCTGAACACTAATTTTTCACTCATGAGAATAGTTTTCCATTTCCAAATTAAAGTCCTTTACCAAAGTTTCTTGGAGCATTTCATAAATTTTCATCATCTGTCATGTTCACAATTATCTTAATTGACTTTCATAGAAAGAAGGTTCTGTTCACAGGTTTGTAATTCTGGGAAGACTTTGTTCACATAATGTTCACTCAGTGCACTGACAATCGTTTCCAATTGTATTTAATTTTTAAAAGCAAATTTTGTCAATTTTATGTGATACATTTTAATTTTTGTAGTTTTTACAATGTGGTCTGAACTTTTAATAATACAGATGCAACAGATGCACAACAGTCAGGATCAATTGGAATCAAAGATGCTGGATCCAGATGCACAAAAAATGCTCAAGTTCTACAAAATATGGCAGAAGAAGGCTGCTGATCACCAAACAGCAAGAAAATGGTCAGCCTTCAGATCAGCAACTCAGAGCAGCCTGCACAGAGCTGCTTTGACAAAGCACTGGGAGCAGCAAGCACAGAGCCAGTCTGTTGGTCTTCATTCCAGCCAAAACACATCCATGGAACATCTGGCAATGGGCAGAAGAGTCCCTGCAAGACTACCATCTGCCAATTCAACCCTGAGTTTGCAAGTGAAGAAGTCCAGTTGGTGTCCCAATAATTCAGAGGGTTTCTTGGATTCTATGAAGGGTCTCCAACCAGGCAGTGTTGGGGGATCCACCACCAACCTCAGGTCTCTGGTGCAGTTTCCTGAGGCAAGGGTTGTCAAACTAGGTGCTGTTGAGTCCATTAGGATGATGGAATTCCCCACTGCACACCAAATGGGTTCCAATCCCAGCAGGCATCCCAAGGGAATTGAATTGACCATTGCTGAACCAGACAGTGCATCTGTGGTTTCATTGCCAATATTTGACAGAATGGAAAGCATGGTTTAAATCAGCCAAAAAAATGCAGTGTTCTGTAAATAATGCTGAAAATATTTCCAAGTGAATGTTTAATTCTGTTTTTGAAATCTAGCATTATAATTCTTCACAGCAGTTAGTTTTATTTTTTTCATAAAAATTACAGTTTTGATTTCAACAAAATCAGAATGGTTCAACTCTTATTCTTGTTTAATTTTCCTTGAGAATCTTGAGACTGATGACCATTTTTGAAATACAGTTCAACTTCTCAAAGTCAAACCTCCTGAAGTCCAAAAACCTTCATAACTCAAATTGCCAGTGAATACCCTTTCCGATTAAATATCCTCAAATCAAAATTTAACCTCCATTCATAAAATAATACATTGCTCTTGTGCTATAAAACTGGGGCTAAATTTTAAAACACCTGATTAAGCAAATTTAGAACTTTTTAAAATGCTTTCCTTGAGGAATTTGGCCACTTCCCTGAAGTGAATAACCAAAGAATGATGATCCCTTTGATGACTAAGCCAGAATATACTTTTAGTTGATTAATAATAAAAAAACCCAGATAATATTCCCAAATTCAAAAGCATCCCAATGGTAGAATTTTTTCAGAATCCCTGAAATTTGACTTAGAGAGGCCCAATTGTTCAACGAAGTTTCTGGGTAATGTCCAAGTATCCTAATTAATATCTGAATGAGGAACAAGTTCTCAAGGCTTTATGTTCTTTGCTTGCCTCCATCACAATTATTCAGATCTTTTTCAAGGGTGAAGATCAGGTTGTTATTGAATTGTGTTTCTGACAAAAATAAATACACTCTAGGTTTTTTTTTTTACAAAAACGAAGGGAATATGTCGACTGGGAGTTGATATTGAATGAAATAAAACTGAATTGGAATAAATGATCAGGCAAAACTGTAATGAATGCAATTATTTTTTAGTGTTTGATTGACAAACCAAAATGAGCAGAGCAATTCATGCATAGTTTTCCTAATTTATTTGTGCTCCTGAATCGAGCAATTATCCTAATCTTGGTAGATGTCACTGCCAGTTTGCTTGTGTTTGTGTAAAAATAGGTAATATGTACTTCATACCTCATAGTTCAAAATGCTTCTCAAATCATATAATTTTTTTTAACATAGAGACATTTTCTGTGTGCATCTGTGTAGATTTGCTTGCGCTGCTGAAGATTTTTGTGGCAATTGAAGCTTTATCCTTTTTTCAGTAATTGGTGACCAGCAATGAAAGTGAAGGTGCAAGATAATCACCATGACTTGGGCAAATGTGATGCACAAGACAATTTGGTCCAATTAGGCATTGTCTGGAACAATTTTCTGCATGCAGTAAAATACTTTCACAACAAACTTTTTGAGATTCCAGAGAAAATATTATTTCAGGGAATAGATTTTAATAACAATGCTTTCAAAACTGATGATTGAAAACAATTTTCATACCAGACCTGCCTATCATTACTTAGTCATTTTGGTTTTCTCAGATTTTTCATTATTGTATGAAAAACTCAGTCATCTTCTGCTCTGTTGTCAGGAGATTTCTACCCAAAGAATCCATTAAAAATACCCCAAAAAAGTTTCTTATGCTGGTTTTGGAAAGTTTTTTCTAAGGATATGGCTTCTACATGCACTCTATAGGCTTTCTGCTGGGACTTGACCTTTTTTTTATTATACTGATTCATTTTGTATACAGTTAGCTCCTGCACAATGGACCTCATGCCCAATGGGCTGAATCTGCCTAACAGACTTCTGTTTGTTTAAAATTACAGTCAACCCCAACACAATGGACTTAATCTTGCTATCCCAAACTGCTGGATGCAAACAAAAGCTTTAACACTACGCAAGAATGTCTTCTACGCTTTGTAGTGCTTTAAACCTTTATCTGATGATTTCTGTTGAGACAATCTTTTGTTGAGAAGTGTTAGTCTTTATGGCCGGAGTAAAGCAAGTAAGACAACTTCTCTCTGATTCAATAACGTATATTCTGTATTGTGTGCAACAACAGCCCAGACCAGCAATGAGTGCCAAAAGAGTGTTTGGACACTCATTTATAAACTACTGATGCGCAAGACAGGTGACTGACCACGCATGAATGGACACATAAAGAAAGTAAACCAGAACAATTGAATGACCAGTCAGGAGACACTGTTGCAAAGTTCTGGAAGGCTGAGTGCAATGCATTGCTATGCAGATCTCAGAGCATGATGATCATTTGAGAACTGGGTATTCTTAACCTGTTTGAGGACTCACTAAAGTTATGAAGACAAACTGTGCACTATTATTTAAAAAAACAGAGTATATAGTCTGTTTATTGTGTGAAAAGTCTGTCATGCATATTCAATTATCAAAAAATAAAATTTTGAATTTTTTCACCAATAATTTTGAACCAACAGAAATCTTTTATGCAGATTCTGTCCATTGCACAGGAGGAAACCCCCCCCCCCCAAAGGTGGTCTTTTGTGCAGGAGGTCCATCTTGCAGGTCTCAAGTGGAATGGTTAAAAGTAAAAATTTTAATTTTTTAATCACTGAATTCGCATAACAGACTTTTCACACACCAGACTATAGTCTGTTGCATGAATTGAATCTGTGGTGCAAAGGGTTGACTGTGATGTATATATTTCAATGGTATTTTTACTGTATGGCTTGCTGTTGAATTCTCATCATTCAAGTGGAATCCTGTTCCACCTGAAATGGAAGATCAGATTGGATTTCTTGGTGGGGGATCACATGCATAGTCAGCAGAAATGCATTTTTCGCCACATAACCCGGCCTATATAACCATCAAAAGTCGCATGCAATCTTATCTTCTCCTCAATAAGCAGCAGCAAGTGCTTCGAAAATTTTCCACTCGAAATCGAAGCCTGCATGTCATCGAATTCTTCTGAACACCTATGTTATCTCACTACAGGAATTTCAAGTACCCATCAATTTTAATACGGCGCTGGTCGATAAAATTATTTCAAGTCATGGTCTTGAACACAGAACGAATTTCTTTTCCGGGACGATTTAAATTGATTTCGAGTCTCCGCAATAAGTTAAGCATCATGATCTGAAGATACGTTTTCTCACATTCGAAGACACATTTAATTCCCTTCTGTGAAATAAGTCAGCGAAGTCCAACTGCTGTGAAACCCTGCAAAGGTCAACGTCGATTGAAAATCGTGACTTAATCTTAAATTTTTTTTTTTAAGTGAATGCAGACCCAGATGATGGAAATGATTTCGGAAACAGTCATCATCAGCAAGATGATTCATTCAAAATCGAGTTTATAACATCACAATATAAGTCTCGCAATGCAAACAATAATAATGGAAGAAAGAAAAAATAGAACACGACGAGAGGATGTATATTCGAATGATTTTTCCTTGGTTTCGGTGATGATGATTATTTGTGGTGCTGATCCTCCACAAATGAATGTCATATAACACCTCAAAATTATCTCACTGCAGGTTTTTGGTTGGCAACAGCGAACGGATTATGCTGGGGGGAAAAAAAGACGGAATTGTCCCGGGAAAGACGTAATAATTGCGATTGATTGCTTGAACTTTTATCTCGTGGATTCCCTCGCTATCCTGTGAACAAAACGATAAGAAATGAGTCATTAAAAGTGATATCGACTACTTGTTTTTCTCCTGCTATGAACGAGGGTTGGTTCATAAGTTTTGTAATTTTTTTTCTATATAGATCCAACAGAGTTTCAACAGTTCAAATATTTTGTTTTACTTTCTTGGCCACATCATGTGACAAAAATGAAATCGGAAAGAGATTGATTTTTAGGACAGCATTAACCTCATTTCTGCTATCAAAAAGCACCTTGATCAGCTATTGGAAATCAATTTTTAGTAATTTTCTGATCGTTGGATTTATTGCAATAAAAAATTCACTGAAATTGTAAGAGAGTATGTGGAACAGCACAGAAGTGTTGCCAAATGACGGGGCTATGCAAGTAAACAAATATATTTGAAATTGTCAAAAGACTGTGGGATCTATTTCAAAAAGTTACAAAACTTATGAAACAACCTTGGCATTTCTTTCAGTCATACTTACATAGCATAATGACTCCTGTAGCCAAGAGAACTGCTGTGACAAAAGATCCTGACAACGCTGCTGAACCATTGTCTTCTGCAAAAAACAAAAAGTCAGAAAAACGTGACAAGAGAGCTAGAATTCCTTCAGCAAATTTATAATAATTTTTGAATCAAAGTACAGTCAACCCCCGTCTAACGGACTTGATTTGTGCAAGGGACAAGTCTGTTAGACAAAAAGTCCTTTACACAAATTCAATTACATAAAAAATTAAAAATTTCAATCTTCAACGCTAATTTTAAACCAAAAGAAGTCTGTTTGGCAGATTTTGTCTGTTGGGCGGGAGGAAAAACTGCTTGCAGAGCTGGTCTGTTCGGCAAAAATCCCTTACACGGGAGGTCTGTTAGGTGGGGGGCCACTGTATTTATCCTATTCATTCAGACATGAACAAAATAACCCGGCAAATATGAAGATTAGCTAAATTTTTGAGAATTCAGAGGAGCGGAAAAAGCTTCAAAATGAGATGAGATGACTTGATTTCAATTGTGATTCTAAATATATGTATACTTTTACACCCCAAGATCTGTCAGTCAATTTGAATGGAAATGAATTTCAGGTTTTGATATGCTTTAGTAATAGCTGACTCAATGTTTGCACTAGAGCAGTACGATACTTTTTCTGGATGGAACAAGAACATTTAATTTTTCAGAGGAACGCAACAGCACAAAAGCAACATAATTTACCGTTATTTTTCCTGAATAAACTTACTGTGATGCAGTTAAAAACATGATCTTTAGAGCATATTCAATACTTCACATTTGAAAGCGTATTTTATTTGCTGCTGGCAGTGATGGAATTGAAAAAAAAAATTGATCAGCCATCCTTTCAGACTAAAATAGTATCAGGTAATAAATTTTGCTGCTTCAAACCCTTCAAATATTTTCTGTAAAGATGAAGGTCTTTTGCTTAAAGTTTTCAGCTGCCAGCATATAAGTCACATTGAAACTTCCTTGAGTTTCAGTTACTCATTGCAACACTAGCTTTAAGATGGGAGACTATACTGAACAAGATTTAATCAATACTGGTGTATGCAAAGAAGTTCAAGGGAAATTTGTAGGTTAGAGAATTTCTTTGTAGCTGTCATGATTCTTGAGATCCATTAAAAATTTTGAACATGAAAGTGTCCAATAATTAAGCTTGCTTCAATTTACTGGTACACTTATTCTCATAAAACAATATTATAATTGATGCACCATGTGGCTGGCCAGCAAAAAAAATAATAAAAGGGGATATATCATCTATTCAAAGTGCCTTATACTAGTTATACACAACACCAAAGTATTATTATGTACATAATGTACTGCTTATTAATTATGGCTGATTCAAAAAAAGCTCACTGAATATTACTCATAAATTTGCCATATTTACTCAAGCACCTTGCACACATTTCTAACAGAAATATTTGGTTAGAAGAGTATGTTGCAAGGGACATATGAGCAAAAAACACTTTTTAGGTGAGACAAATTATGCATTCATATTGTTAAATGGTAATTACTGTAAGCTCTTATATAATACACCATCATGCAACTTCAGAGATGAAATCTCAATAAAATTTTAGAAAGAATACAGTTAATCCATGCACATTGGACTTCATTTGTGCAACAGACTAGCCTGTTGTGTGAAAAGTCTGTTCTGCAAATTCAATTCTTTACAAATTGAAATTTATACTTTTACCATTAATTTTAAACTAACAGAAGTGTGTTAGGCAGATTTTGTCTGTTAGGTGGGAGGAAAGATTGCCTCCAGAGGCAGTCTGCTGAGCAAAAATCCCTCAGGTGGGAGGTCTATTATAGGCGAGTGTTGACTGCACTTTGATCAATTTATCATTGTGTAGTCTACATACAGAAATCCTGAGTTTTTTCCATTTGGAAAAAGTGTTGATAAATACTGTTCAAGTTCAAGGCATTCTTGAAACTCCCCTTGGCATTCATTATTTGTTGGTCAGTTTTTCAAAAGATACTGGTTGTGACACACATAGAAATAGTCAATGCCCTCACCTGTGGTGCCTGGTCCAGGGTTTGCAGTGGTGGGTTCTGGAGAAAAAACACAACAAAGTTTAAGAAGGAGAACACATTTTCACAATAAATAGTATCAAGTGAAATATTTTCTTCATGATTGGCCTCCAATGAGAACAAGTTCTCATTTTTAAAAGCTCCAGGATGTTTCAATCAGCATTGAATTCATTCCGTATATAAGAAAAGGAAATAAATTCTACAACTGCTGGCCAATGTGAAATAAAATCAAGACTCTCAACTCCTTGCCAGAGAGGAAATTTTTCTTTTTCATTTTGAAACATGACCTGGGATTCTTGCATGTTGAAAAATGCTATTCTGGACATCTTTTTCCACATGTGCCTATGGTTCAACTAAAGGATTGTGCCAAGTTTTCCATGGTTTCAATTGCAGTACACATTTTCACTGTAAAAACTGACATGATGGTTCAAAGTAAATCTAGAATAATTCATAACAGAGGTTAACCCAAAAAGTATCACAGCAGTTATAATTATTCATTTCCACCAAGATTTATTTAAGCTACCGAATCCTACCTAGAAATTTGAGAGACCAGTTCACCATCAAGTTCAGGGAGAAATTTCAGAACTAGGTCTCATTGTTTAGTCTAGGAATTGGAGATCTGCTGGTTATTTTCATTCTTCAAAGTCTCCCTACTGACAAAGGGTGGGGTGGATATGAGTTAGGTAGTGTTCACACCTTCAGAAGGATCATCAGTCGCCGATGTCACTGGACTTGAATTAGGTGAATCTGATGGATTTGCTGATGGATCAGCTGATGGATCTGCTGATGGATCTGGTGATGGATCAGCTGATGGATCTGCTGATGGATCTGGTGATGGATCAGCTGATGGATCTGCTGATGGATCTGGTGATGGATCAGCTGATGGATCTGCTGATGGATCTGGTGATGGATCAGCTGATGGATCTGCTGATGGATCTGGTGATGGATCAGCTGATGGATTGGCTGTATATAAGAATTGCCTGAAAACAGGTGCTGAAAAGATGAAAATTTGGAAGATAAAAACAAGACGTTTTTGTGAACTGCAAGTTTTTCTAAGCAAAAGCAAAGCACAAGACTGATCTGGTGATGGATCAGCTGATGGATCTGCTGATGGATCTGGTGATGGATCAGCTGATGGATCTGCTGATGGATCTGCTGATGGATCTGGTGATGGATCACTTTTACCTGTAAGAAAAGGTTAGAAGGTGTGTGTTAAAAATGCTAAAAACTGCAAAATGAAATGGTTTTTTCATACTCAAGAATTCAAGAATATCTCCTGGAAACATCCAGTCTAATAGAGTATGATGCAGACAATACATTAAATTTTGTTGCTGTGAAATCAATTCAAGCATTTTGACCCTTGAATTGCATATAGGCTTCTTTTCTCAAGTTTATACATAGAGACTATGTTCAATTATGTATTGGTATTGCACATGTGTTGGGTTGACTAAAGGTGACAAAAATGCAGCGTGAATTGAGTAGCCAAAGTCTAACAAAATCTGGAAGCATTGAATCCTATTGTTTCCAAGAAAATCCATTGCTAATCTTGGGGAAGGAATTGGTTATCCTGAAATGTTCTAATTCTGGGGGAATACTTTCTGGGTTTGATTCTTTGAAGTAAAAGTTTAATTTTCTATTTTTTTAATGTTGGTTGTTCGCGTCACACTGATTTTTATAATTATGAGTTGTTGGAAATGTCATGGGTGCATTGGATCCCAGACAAAGGAATTGAATTGTGCAGCCATCTGGGTCTGCATGCAGGGCTTTCTTATATACTGAACCACAGAAAGATATGTTTCTCTCCTTTGTATAGTGTGTAATATATGATGTACTGTGTTCCTTGCTTGCATTGACCTTACCGCTAGGTTTTGCATTCTAAATTATATGCTGAAAAGTCAGAAGACGGAGTGAGGGGAATTTTCGTTTCAATTGCTCAAACCCGGAATTCCGCGAGTTTATTTTTTTAGAGTTAAGTTGGCAAGCTGAAATAAAAAAGAAGTTCACGAAATATTCTCCGGAACAATGCCCATGATTTTTCTTCAATGGTTTCTTGTGCCTTATTGAAAGATATAGGAGGTGGCATGGGTCCATTGGATCCCAGACAAAGGAATTGAATTGTGCAGCCATCAGAATGCAAGTTTTGAATACAAACTCAAACTCTTTTCAAAGGAGTTCATTCTCATTGCCCAGTTCATCAATTGGCTGTTAATTGAATGGTTGCAATGGCAGAGTCAATGGTTAGCTCAGAATATTGAATGAGGTAGTTTGAAGTTAAAAGGCCCTTTAACACTAAGTTCTGACTTCTCCTCTCAAAGGGGAATGAGGGTTTTTCATACCCAAGTGCTTGGACTGGGTCAGGAAGAAACCAGGTGATTTCTTCCTGGCTCAGGATTGGCCAATTGAGGAAAAATCAAAGAAGTGAAAACCACTTCTTGCCCTTGAGTGAGGCTCAGTGAGTCTGGCAAAAATGGGATTTTTGCAAGGCTCACTAGCCTGGAAATGTAACAAGTTTTCTGGGCTGGTTTCAGCCAGATGCTGGAGCTACGTCGCTTCGGGCCGCAACAGGAAATAAAAATAAAAAAAACATACTATTTCTGCTGGTCAAGGGTAACATTTCCCAGTGTTTTTAGACAGGGTGGGAAAAATGATTTACACCAGATTGCTTTAATGTGCTTGAGATCTTCAGCATGGAGGATAGAAATCCAAACTTCCAACATTTTGGTTTTTTGGAGTATATGTCAAAAATATGCAAAGGTACGATAAAAAAATTCTGGAGTATCAGTCAATCACTGGAAATTGTCTCTTTTAGGGCAAGATTTCAACAGATTTAAATTTCAGAGGTCTTGAACAAATGTTTGGTGTCAGAGGTCCTGCATCTTGAGGAAAGGGTATTCTGAAGTGTGGTGGAAAATTTAATACACTATGAAGTGGTGTGTGTGTTTGTGTGTGTGTGTGTGTGTGCCTGTGTGTGTGTGATTTTGATTCTTCCATTGAATGTCTGATCAAGTTTTGAAGTTTGTATTTGCCAAAAAACAACAGTGGACCATAAAGCACGTAAACACAATCAACAAAAACTTAAGTCTTCCTAATTGGAGACTGGTTGGCAACTGAGCTAATTTCAAAATGTGCTTCATTCTCAAATTTTTTTAATAAGCTCCTTTGGATATGTTAATATCAATCCATCAGCAGCAGCAGCACCTTATTTTTCAAAATAAGGTAATTTCGTCTTTTTATTCAAGAAGAAGCAAATTGAGTCCCACTATGACCTTGGGAAATCCTTTGTATTTTTTTACTGTTGAACCACTCTAAGTCAAATTTCAAGCAACCAGGAAACATATTTGACTTATGGAGGTTTTGACTGAAGGAGTTTCTATTCAAGAAGGTGTCTAGTCAGGGAAACAAGCATTTCTTGGGAAACATAAAAAAGTTGCATGATATTTTAAACGGTGATATTATGGGCATTGGAAATTCCTTCTTTAATGAATTGAAAGCATTTTGAATTTTGAGGCAGAGGTTCATTTGCCCAATTAGTCTGCCCCTTCCTTTTAAAACACATCATTACTTGTTTTATTGCATTTCTTTTTCACGTATCAATAAAATGTTAGCCAAAAGGCTGCAGAAAATTTGACTTACACAGGTTTGAGAGAAGAATACTTTGAAGTAGGGAGGTTTTTATTACTGTATATTGATTTTGAGGATATTCAGATGGTGATTCAAAAATAAATGATTTTGGGATGTATTAGACTTGAGGAGGTTTGACTGATCAATAGGTTTAACTGTATCTGACATAGGACCCGTTTTTGATTTATTTTTTCCCTCACGTAGTGAATCATAAACTATAGAGATCAAACTTGCAAACTTCAATATTTACGATTGAGAAAATTACTCAATAGGTGTTGCACGTCTTCATAATTTTTGGACGTTTCTGAGAGCATTAAAAGAGCCATGCATTTTTCAATACCACATTACACTGCTGTCTTTTCCTTACTCTTTGCACAGTTTTAGTACTTTACTGAAATCTGAAGAAATTTCCATTTTTTTCTGATTCGTTTTCTATGCCTTTTAGTGTCACAATTCTCAAGCATAGCTTTCATGGTTAGAATTAGATTCAAGAGTAGGAATAAAACTTGGGCCAAATTTAATTTAATTTTTTTCCAGGGTATTGTATCCATGAGTTAATGTTGCAATGATGATTATGGATGATTCCACAAATGAATGTGCTATGGGTATAAGCAGAACATTTGTTTTTGTTCTGTAGGGAAGAAACGAATTAAAGCGATTTAAATTTCGTCGCATGCTTCTTTAAAAGTCTGAAGTAACCATAATTTCAGCTGGATTCTCGAAGAATGAGCGCGAAGGAGGTCAGTTTTTCAGGTGTGAAACATACCGTCAGCATACTCGAAGTCAAATTCCTCTTCTACAATGTCCGGTGCAGACATGGCGGCCCCCACGAAAATCGCCATCAAGGCCAGAACGGTCCACGTTTTCCCGTACATATTTTCAATC